TAATCTTGAGCATGAATTAAAAAGACTCAATATTATATGGGTGACAATTCTCCCAAGAGAATTTATAGATTCTCACATGTTAGTTAAAATTCATACATATTTTTTATTATTTAAAACTTTATAAGCTTATTTCTAACATTTAATAAAAATATAAGGAACAAACATTAGCCAAACTACTCTTGAAAAAGTTAGCATGGGGAAAAAATTTGCTCCACTAAATACCAAGATATCAAATAAAACTTCTGTAATTATATACTGTGATATTAGCAGAGATATAGAAAAACAGAGGCATAATATATCCCCAAAAAATCTCCATATATAGATTTATACTAAATTTATAGTGCCACTCAGGTGGCACTGCAGAGTAGTAAGGAAACAGTGCTTCTGTTAATAACAGGTATGTCCATGGGTGAGGGTGGGAGGAAGTTAGACATAGTCCTTACATCATGTTTAAACTGAACCTGGACAAATTAAAGACCGGAGCCTAAAATGCAATATCACAAACACATTGGAAGGAAAAATTAGAGAACATGTAAAGAATAATTTTATATAATAAAAGTTTCCCATTTTAAGTGTATAGTTTGATAACCTTAATAAATGTAATACATCCATGCAGCCATCACCATAGTCAAGACACAGACTGTTCCATTGCCCAAAAAGGTCTCTCATGCCTTTTACCATCAATCTTTCCCACTACACTTTCTTCCCAACCCCTGACTGCAAGTATCTATGGATCTATGTTGTATCACTTTATCTTAGTTTGCACTTTCTAGAATGTGTGTGTGTGTCTGTGTGCGCGTGCGTGCGTGTGCGCATGTATGGATTCCACATATATGGAACCACACAGTATGTATTCTTTTATGTCTGGCTCCTTTTACTCAGCATAATGTTTTTGAGATTCATCCACATTGTCACATGTATTAGTAGTCTGTTCCTTTTTATTGTTGTTATTCCATTGTTTTGATACAGTACACTTTGTTTATTCATTCATCTGTTGATAAATATTTGGGTTATTTCCAGTTTTTGGCTATAATTAAGACAACTGTTATCAATATTTGTAAACAAGCCTCTGAATGGACATGTGCTTTCATTTTTTTGTGTGTGAGTGTGAATACCAAGAGGGTAGAATAGCTGGGTCATTAGTGTGGTATATACTTCTAAAAAACTTCCAAATTGTTTCCTGAAAGTGGTTTTATCATTTTACACTCCCACCAGCAATGTCAGTGTTCCAGTTGCCCCATATCTTTAGTAACACTTGAGACTGTCAATCTTTTTATTTTTAGTCATTCTAAAGGAAAGGTGGTAGTGCCTTACTTTAAAATTCACATGATCAAACCTCTGAATCCACATTCTGCCCCATCTTACCAGGTATCACTTTGGACTTTCATTTTTTAAAAAGTGAATGACAACAACCAGGCTTAGAAAATTAGTGATAGAACAACCACAACCACCACCACAATAACATTAACTGAACATTTATGATTTTCCTAACCTTAGAGTGTAAGCTTGATGGGGTAATACCTATGTGATTCTTTGTATCTAGCACAGTGCCTGGTGCTGGATACATAGTATATATATATATACACTTATTAGCTATTTTTTGTGGTGTCATAAGTTACCCCAAATGTTAGCAGCTTAAAGTAACAACTATTTATTGCTTCACACAGTTTCTGAGGGCTAGGAATCCAGGAACAGCTTAATTGAGTGGCCCTAGGTCAGGGTTTATCACTATAGTAGTAATTAAGCTACTGGCTGGGGCTGCATCATTTAAAAGCTTGACTGGGGCTATATGACTGGCTTCCAATATTATTCACTCACATGGCTTTTGGCAAGAAGTCTCAGTTCCTTGCTAGCTGATGTCAGCAGTCCTCAATTCTTTGCCATGTGGATCTCTCCACTGGGCTGTTCTATATGGCAGCGGGCTTCCCCAAAGTGAGTGATCTAAGAGGAGCAAGCAGAAGTTGATTATATGGACCAATTGGGAGATGGGAATGACTGGAACCATCCTGAAAGCTGGCTCATATAGTGCATAGTGAATATGTGATGGAACTGATGTGTGCCTGACATTCTGCTAAGAATGTTACTTACATCATCTCATTTAATCCTGATAACAACACATGGAGCATTGTCCTCATTTGAAATGATAAACCAGGCTTATGAAAGTTAAGCAAACTGTCCAGTTCTACAAAGCTATAAGGTGGCCAAGCCAGAGTTCAAAATCAGACCTCTTTAGCCCAAGAGTCTGTGAAAAATGATTCACACTGAAAAGCAGTGAATTGCACTATTACAAAAAGAAAATTTAGGCGATCTTTTCAATTTAGTTTACATTGAGTCAAACTCATTTATATATGGGGGAACAGTGCTAGAAATTATATCAATAAGGAAAGCTTAAAACTCGTCAGAATAAAGAATTCATCCCTTATTCTCCAATTCACAAGCTTTTTTTTTTTCATTTTTTCTCTCTTACCAGACTAATGTTTCAAATTCTAAGCAGCAGTGTATATAGAAAACCCTAAAGACTCCACCCTAAAACTACTAGAACTAATCAATCAATTCAGTATAGTCACAGAACATAAAAACAATGTATAGAAATCTGTTGCATTCCTATAGACTAATAATGAAGCAGTAGAAAGTGAAATTAAGAAAATCCTGGGACACCTGGGTGGTTCAGTTGGTTCTGTGTCTGATTTCAGCTCAGGTCATGATCTCAAGGTTCATAGGTTCACACCCCATGTCATGCTCTGTGCTGACAGCTCAGAGCCTGGAGCCTGTTTCAGATTCTGTCTCTCTGTCTGCCCCTCCCCTGCTCATGCTCTGTCTCTCAAAAAATAAATAACTTTAAAAAAATTTAAAAAGAGGAAAAGAAAATAATCCCATTTATAATCACACCAAAAATAATAAGATATCTAGAAATAAAATTAACTAAAGAGGTGAAAGATCTGTACTCTGAAAACTATAAAACACTGATGACTATGCAAAAAATGGAAAGTCATTCCATGTTCATGGGTTGGAAGAACAAATATTGTTAAAATGTCTACCCAAAGCAAGCTACATATTTAACACAATCCCTATCAAAAAAGCATTTTTTTACCAAATTAGAGCAAACAATCCAAAAATTGCTATGTAAATTTTATATGGAAAGGACCTCAAATAGCCAAAGCAATCTTGAGAAAGCAGAAAAAGCCCAGAAGCATCGCAATTTCAGATTTCAAGTTATATTACACAGTGGTGGTATTAAAACTGTATGGTAATGGCACAGAAAAAGATACAAAGATCAGTGGAACAGAAAAGAAAACCCGGAAATAAGTCCTCACTTAGACAAAGGAGGAAAGAATATATAATGTGAAAAAGACAGTCTCTTCAACCCATGGTATTGGAAAAAATGGTCAGCCACATGCAAAAGGATGAACCGACCACGTTCTTTCACCATACACATACAGAAAAAGCCTCAAAATGGTTTAGAGACCTAAATGTGAGACCTGAAACCATAAAAATTCTTGAAGAGAGCACAAGTAGTATGGCTCTCTGACATCAGCTGTAGCAACATTTTTCTAGATATGTCTCCTGAGGCAAGGGAAGTAAAAGCAAAAATAAGTTATTAGGATTTCATCAAAATAAAAAGCTTCTTCACAGTGAAGGAATCAATCAACAAAACCAAAAGGCAGTCAATTGAACGAGAAAAGATTATTTGCAAAGGACATATCCAATAAAGGGTTAGTATCCAAAATATATAAAAAAAACTGATACAATTCAACACCCCCAAAACAAATAATCCCTTAACAATGGGCAGAAGACATGAACAGATATTTCTCCAAAGAAGACAAAATGGCCAACAGACACACAAAAAGATGTTCATCATCACTTGCCACCAGGGAAATGCAAACCAAAACTATAATATCATCTCACACCTGACAGAATGGCTAAAATCAAAAACACAAGAAATAACAAGTATTGCTGAGGATGTGGAAAAAAAGGAACCTTCTTGCACTGTTGGTGGGAATGCGACTTGGTACAGTCACTGTGGAAAACAGTATGGAGGTTCCTCAAAAAATTAAAAATATAATTACCTTATGATCCAGGAATTATGCAGCTGCTAAAATACAAAAGCATTAATTCAAAGCATTTGAAGGGATATATGCATACTTATGTTTATTGCAGCATTATTTATAGTAGCCAAAGTATGGCAGCAGCCCAATGGTCCACTGATAGATGACTGGATAAAGAAGATGTGGTATATATATACACACATACACACACACATATCATGGAATATTATTCAGCCATAAAAAAGAATGAAATCTTCTCATTTGCAAGAACATGGATGTTTCTAGAGAGTATAATGCTAAGTGAAATAAGCCAGAGAAAGACAAATACCATATGATTTCACTCATATGTGGAGTTTGAGAAGACAAATGAAGAAAGAAAGGAAGAGAGACAAACCAAGAAACAGACTCTTATCTATAGAGAACAAACTGATGGTTACCAGAGGGTAGGTGGGTGAGCAGTTGGGAGAAATAGGGGATGGGGATTAACGATTACACTTATCATGATAAAAAAAATAAAGTGAAAAAAATTGTTAACACAAAAAACAAAAACAAACCAAGAGGCAGGCCTAACAATAGTTTCTTCTGATAGACCCAAAGCTGGAGAATTTTGAGGTAGATTAGCTGCATTATAATCAGTGGAGTAAAAAAGGAAAGAAAAAAGAAAAGAAAAAATATATATACTCTAGCCAGGTAGATCCTTGGCAACAAAGAAAGTCACGGATTTTGACACTGCCTTCCCAGAGTTAACAGAACTTTGCTGATCAGTTAATGTGCATGTGGCACTGTGGTAGCAGCAGGGATCTACGAGTGAGACAGTAGCTATTGTCCAAGAGGTCACAATCTCCTTGGGATTAAGGTGATACAGAAATAGTCATAATGCAAGTCTAAGTGTCATGGAGAGGCACACAGGGAATACTAGTTTAGGTGTGAACTTTTTAAAAGACCAGCCATATCTCCGAAACATACTTGGTGTTTATTAAAATAACCGAGTGTGGTAATCTCTGAAGTCAACAGAAGATTAAGATGAGGGAGCCGAGCCTTCTTTACTTTTGTTGCTTTTGTAAGCAGTTAGGAAACTTCCAAAGACAGTGACTTGCTTACCATCACAGACGTAGTCTCTCAGTCAGTAACCAGTTTTGTGCCACAGGTGGCACAAAATGGGTTTCTGGAATATGAAAAGGAAGGAAGAGTGGCTAAGGTTCAAAGTCCAGGTAGCCTTCCTTTCCTTCTGGGAATGTAGAAATCACAGCAGGACAAACAAAAGAGAGGGTGGAGTGGGTAGGGCAATGGAGTTGAGGGATTTAGAGAGTTAAGGTGGTGATAATGTTAGGCTAGAAACCAAAGTGGTACTCAGATCTATCCTCACTGGGAAGAAAGAAGCCCTCCTCGTGGAGTTGAAATGATGAAGTGTCTTCCTGCTAACGCCGTGGGAAACTATCCTGTGCACAGGTGGAACTGGGGGTCTGTGTAGCATGAACTAGTTTCAAACCAAAATTTCCCTTCACCACTGAGCATGCTCCGCTTTCAGTCTTCTGCAAAAAAGTGGATTTCGTGACTCCTGATTTTAGCTTTGGCGACTCGGGGCGGGAGAGCACAGTGGTGTCCGGCAGAGGCCACAGGTGGAATCTTGAAAGGGAAGGTGTGATGACAAGTGGGCAGCTGGGAGTTAGGGGAATCAGAGTAGGACCCAAAAGACAACCCATCAATGTGACTGGCTTTGATCTGGTCGGCAAGCCTTTGTAAAGGAGCCAGTGCGTTATCTGGAGATAGGGAGACCCGAAGTTCAGGGTTCTGGTCCTACCGTGGGAGTAAATCGGGGCGAGCAAATGGTCGTTGTTACCCAGTAGTGAGTCCCCCCTGCTACACCTTCTTGGCCTGCAATCTCCCTTGCAAGATACTGGGTGTTGGTACAGAAAGTAGGAGCTGGATGGAGGATGCTCACCAGGCAGCCCCCGGCCAACTCGTCCACCTCCCCGCCGTCTTTCTTCACTAGCCCAAAGCGGTCGCCAGGGGCCAACAGATATCTGCCTGGCTAGAACAGGCTCAGAAACTCACCTTAGCTACTTTGTTTTTGCGTTTGGACTCTTGATGGGGTGCATCCATATCTAGGGACCCCCCTGCTTTTGGTGGTAAGGGGAGAGGGACTTCCTAGTACTCTGTATAAAAACAATGATTGCTGAAGATGTGAGCCCAGGATACACAGCCTGAAGGCGGTGCCCGCGGACCAGAGGGCACGGCCGGGGCCCGGGCGCGGGGCGGGGCGGAGGGGCGGCCCGCTCTCTCCTGGGGCTGTCGGCAGCCAGGGCACCTCAAAATCGCACCGAATTTCGTAGCTCTGGGCGCCCCAGGCGCGCAAGGTACGCTTCGGGGGCGGTCCTGCCTGACCCCGGAAGAGAAAGTTGTTTTGGGGAAGGGGAGCAAGGAGACGAGAATGTTAAGTAACTAAAAATCAAAGTTGTTCTGCTCCCCTCAGGCCACCTCTCCTCTGTTTCATCTTTACCCCAAGCTCCGTTCGAGTCAGGCTTCCTCAGAGGGCCGGAGGCGCCAGGAGTGCCAGCCAGAGTTGGGGGACTGAGCGCGCCCGGCCCGCAGGTTTCGACCCTCTCCGACTCCAGGTCTCCAGGAAAACCCGGAGCGGAGCATCCCCCGGGCCGGGAAACGCCCTCGCGCGCGCCCACTGGCGCGCATGCGCAGTCGCGCGGTGGCCGCGAGTAGGAAGCTCCGCGCGGCAGAAGCGGCCGAGGCGGCGCGACTGAAGGGTGGGAAGGGACGCACCGGCTGGCGGGCTGGGGCGCTGGGACGCGGCTGGGGCTCCCGCCGGAGGTTCCTGGAAGCGTTTGGGACAGCGAACCCCAGTGCAAGGAGCCAGCGAACACGGGAGCCCGGGAGTGCCGAGTGGGCAGCGGGCGGAGCGGAGCCGCCGGGCGGAGCGGGCTCAGAGCCCGGGTCTCCGCGGCTCGGGACCCGGCGGCGGGGGCGGCGATGTTCCACTGCATCCCCCTGTGGCGGTGCAACCGTCATGTGGAGACGATCGACAAACGCCACTGCTCGCTGGTCTATGTCCCCGAGGAGATCTACCGCTACGCCCGCAGCCTGGAGGAGCTGCTGCTGGACGCCAACCAGCTCCGCGAGCTGCCCGAGGTGAGCGTCCGGCCTCACCTGCGCGCGGTCTTTGGGAGAACGCGGGCGAGCCTGGCCAGCTCTCTCGCTCCTCGCTCCCGGGGTCACTTCCCTTCCCCACGCCACCCGTCTTCCACCTCCGGATCCCGTCGCCGGGTCCCGCGGAACCGCCACTACCTGCATTCACCTGCTTCTTCCTCCCTTACCCTCCTCCCCCTCGCATGAAAAGTTCCTTGTCAGTTTATACAGAGCAAGCGACTTGATATTTTCCAAGTGGTCACTAGAGCTTGTACGACTAAGGAAACAAACGTTCTGGGCTGGCAAGGAGTTAAGATACACGTCTAGGTACTAACAACTGGCGCTTGCAGCCGGACAGGTGAGGAGCCAGGCGGCTGGGGCAGTTCCCAGGTGGAAGGACAGAGCGTGGCGTCTGCTCCCTGGGCGTTTTTCTTCGCGCTGCGTTCCCGGAGCAATAGCCAGGGCGCGCCTCCCCGGTGGGCTGCGCGCGGGGGAGCCGCACGAACTCGGCGTCTTCAGAGGAATGTGCCCCGGGCCTTATCGCTGATGGGCAGTCCTTTGACTGGCTGGCCGGCCTTGGCTCCGGGGCCGGTTGAGAATTGCGGGGAGAGGGGAGGGGAGCAGGAGGAGATCGGCAGCAGGAGAGTTCTGCTTTGGGAGCTGTGGGCAGGTGCCCAGGTGCCCGCCGCTGGGGCCCTGCCTGCGTGGACCTGTTGCGTGGAAGGAGCCGCCGTGAACGTCAGCAGAGGCTGTGCCTGGCGGGCCAGCCTTGCAAGCCGCCTCTCCCGGAGTCAGCCTGCTGACTTCTATCCTTGCATCGATGCGTTACCTCTTCAGAGTTGTTTACGTACATTAATCAGTCTGGTGCCGCTGAACTTGTCAGGCGACACATGCTGATTGAGCTTTAACTGAGGGTCTGGGACTGCGAACTTTTAACCTTGGAGCTTGCGGCCCCGGGAATTTAGCTTGAGTAACCCTCGAGGAAGAAGGTGTCACAAACCCAGGGGTGTGCAGGAAGTCAGTGTGCAGTAATCCAAAGGTGTGCAGGAAGTAGAGAGACTAGACTGCTGGGAATTGGGAGGAGGACCTGAGGCCTGAGCGTTGGGACTCAGATATCTTTCTTGGTCTTTAGTTAACACAAGGCCAAGACACTGTCACAGAGACACTCACGAGTCAAATGTTCTGGCTTGTTAAAATGACCTGATGGCATTCTTCAGCGCTGAGTGTTTTAAAAAGCGAAACTGTGTTTCTCTTAATATTTCAAATGTTCTTCCTCTAGGATTAACTTTCCTTGGTTCATGTGGAATTGGATGGTTTGCTCTATTTAATCATGGAGATTATCCTCACTAGGATCTTTGCAAAGCCCCCCGGGCTTTATTTAGCTTAGAAGCAAAAATGCCATCCACTTCCCCTCGGGCATTTATTATAGTGCAGGCATTTTCAGACATATGGCTTTGTCTGGCTTTGAGCTTCCTTAAATTTGACTTGAAAGTCATAAGCTTTCTGCCTTAAACTTACTGCCTTAAATTGTAAGTTTTAGACATTGCTATTGCCAGAAATACAGAATATGTCATTTAATACTTTTCAAGTGTGTTAGAGTGAAGTTATTAAAGATTGAGTGAAAAGCTATTTAACTAGGAACGATTAAGTGTTCTTTGTGGTATTTTTGTTTGTTTGTTTGTTTTTGTAGAACTTGGAAGATTTCCCTTGACTGGATTGGCTTTTGACTCCCTTCTGCAAAGTTTGTGGGTTTTCCTGTAATGTTGGGGGAATTCAGCCTCGTAAGGGGAAATTATGGGTTTTGAAAGTGTTAGGTGTTCTTACTAATCCTACCTGGAAACTTCTCAGCAGTTCAAGATAGTCTGATGGCATTCTGTAGGTATAGTAAATAAGTTTTTCAGAGGCTAAAGGTGGTCTTGCTTATGGGTAATTATTGCTCCTACAGCTCCGAAATTAGTTTTAGACAAAGTTTGAGTTGTTTAAAAACTTTTTTCATGACTTATTGCATGTGGATGCCTGGATGGGTATAAGCCAGACGTGAATAACCACCTTGAAAGTACAGATATTTCATTCAAAGTAAAAGACTTTTCCTTGGGCTGTTGTTTCCCCTCAGAGATCTGCATAAGTCATTAGCACTGCTCCACACTGTCCCTAACTCCGCCCCTCCCCTAACCTCTATCTCCTTACCTGCCCCATCACCAGGCGCCCTCTTCTGCTGACAGACCTCCAGGGTCCTTGTGGTGGTCTTGCTGGCTGGCTGTTTTCTTCTCTGTAGTTTGTTTGACAGCACAGATGGGGGAGGACTGCTCCCCAAACCCCAGATGCAAAGATACACACACACTGTTCAGGGTTCAGGATGATGAAACTGCCTCCTCTCTACTGAAAGGTTTGTAACCGCAGACTGGCTCCAGCTCCCTCATTTTGCAAATTGAAACTCAGAATTGAGTTTCAGCCATCAAGGCTGTACAGATGGTTAGATGCAGTCACCAGTCGCCCCCCTATTCAGCAGCTTTGGACACCTGGCAGGAATCCTGCCTATTCAGCTTTTCACACCCATTAGAATCTCAGTTATTTAGCCCCTCCTATTTTATTCATGTCATTAAGTCTGGCCTCTGTTGAATATTTATTGACCCTTCATCATTTGTAGTTGCTGGAAATATAGAGATCAGAGAAGGTGTGATTCCTATGAGCTACTCACAGCTTTGTGGGGAGACAGATGACTTGAATACACATGGGGTGAGTGTGGGTTGCAGGGGGCTTGACAGCTAGCTTGGTGGTTACTTACCTAATCTAAACTTCTGCTGAGCCTGAATCCCCATCCTCAGTAGCGGGTCCACCTTGTAGTAGCCTCTCAGTGCTGCTGTTCTGCAGGGAAGGCTTGGAACGTTCATCCGTAGCCTGACCTCAGATGGATGATAGTCTCACCATCCCGTTCCCATCCACCTTCTCCTTCCCACTTCCTTCGGGTTCCATCCCTTTGGGATGTGTATTAGCAGAGACAGTCTGACTCTAAGTTCCTTGAGATGCTGGCATGTTTTTGCTCATCCTTGTAAGCCCCAAGCCTGGCACCCAGTAGGTCCTGCTCAGTGAACAGCTTTTGTCTGTTGAATGCATTTAGCTTAGCCTGGTGCAAATCTTTCTCCACTGCTTCTTTCTCTTACCTGAAGCGTATCAGTGCTCTGGCATCTATCCACTTCTAACATAGTCAGAGAATATTCAGGTTGGGGAGTGATTTTTTTTCAAGACTATCTAGCTGGTTAGATGCACAGTGGTTGCTTCAAGTTGGAAGCCACTTGAGAAGTTAAAGGTCACTGATATGGTGAAGCTGTTGTCTTCCCCAAGATCCTGTGCCCTACTCTGTACTTCCTCAGTGTTTCTGACACCGTCAATTTCCTCCTCAAAGTGCATGGATTCTCAAATACCTTCATGCGATCTCTCTGGCTTCAATACAGAGCCGACTCTAATAGGCAGCAAATATTTTGAGTAAAGGCTGTTGAGCCCATATAGCTTATAGAACCAAGTTTCATTTTGTCATCTACTCTTATTTAGGGTTTGGTTGATCTCTTGATGATTGCCAGATGGCATTATCTCAAATATCAACCCTTTCCCCTCATTCTTTCTCATAGCCTACTTTATTTTTCCCCAGTCCTTAGAGCACCATTACTACCTAACTCTAGACTTGCTTACTCGCATCTGTGTGCTTACTTGTTCTTTGTCTCCTCAACTAGAACATGAGCTCCAGGAGGGCAGGGATGCTTTTGTTCATGGCTGAACCTAGGACAGTGTCTGGCACATAGTAGGAACTCACATGCTTGTTACGTGAGTGAGTCTTCACATGTGCTATCAGGGGTAGGCTTGCTCCCGTTTCTCAACAATGACTGTGCATCATGATTCCCCTTACTGCAGTCTCACGCCTACTGTATACCAATCTGTTTAAACTCATTGTGGGATAAAGTCATTCTGAAATCAGTGTTTTTTTCTTACCAGTTTTTGTTCTCTATCTCTTCTGTGCTGGGAACCTTTGACAGCCTTCTCTTTTTGAAATAATTTTTAGGCATTGTAAACGTAATTCTGACTGTGACTTTGACATGTCCAACTGTGATCTGTTAAAAGGATATCCATTCCCACTTGGAATAAGTCCCTTTTGTCTTAAACTTGCCATGTCCCACTTCAGTGGGGCAGCCATTCTTCCCAAGTTCATGGACCAAGGCTCTTTGGGCTTGTCTTCAAGGAGCAGAGACCAGGGATGCTGGAGTCAGATAGCTCAAATGCTGCTGCAGCACTTGGATACTTCCTTCAAGCCTTGGTTTCCTTACTTGTTCTCTTAGTACCTGATTTCTATGGTTATTCTGTAAGTGCATGCAAAGCACTTACAGTCAGATAAATGATGTCTAAGAGTTTTGTAGATACTGTGGTGAGATGTTCCTCCCCTCCCCCAAATAAAACAATATTTCTTAACCCGGAATTGGGATACATTTTCCTTGCAGTTTGTAAGTCATTTTTAAAAATCAGAATTAAAATGTTAATGTTCTTTTCTATAATAATTAAAATCTCATAGCTTCCATACATCTAGATGAACTTACAAATGAGTAGTGCCATAAGGTTTAGTAGTGCCGTAATGTGTGTTTGATTGAGCACTCTCTTAATTGTCTTTAGCTAAGGGAAAAAGAACAGATGTGGGCTTATTGCAGAAATCATGTGTTCAGGTCAGATGATAGCTGGAAGTTACGGGAGCAAAGATTTCATGGCCGTTTGTTAGAGCAGAGTGGTGGGGAGCGGAAGGGGTCACAGAGCCCACGGTGGTGCAGGCTGGCAGAGTTGCCAGGAGCCTGCTCCGAGGTAGTGCTGTACCAGTATGTGCAGCCATGCGATGACTGTCCAATTGTGTCACTGTCATCTGTCACTTCAGATCAGTGTTGAGTTCTCTTTTATTGGTTTTTGTCAGATTTTTAAATTGCTTCACCTTACGGTTTTGTAAGGACTAAGGCACAGGGAGGGCATAC